ATAACCTTGTGTCATAACTTAATTTGCAACATTTCTTTTTAATTTTGCTTCTTAGTGATATATAAAAGGACGGTGCTTTTACAATTAGTAGCATCTTAATTTTGATGAAAATATGGTATATAAAGTGAATGCATAAGAAACACATGTATATGGGTGAAACTCATAATAGATTCTTTCCTGCTTTTTGTATCTATGGAGGTAGAAGTAACACCAGTAAGCCAAACTGTAGCTATCTAACAATAATTAATGTTTGACCTTATACTGTGTGTTTAGTTTTATCTTTGAGAAAGATGTCCTGTTTATCCTTGTAGCCCAGGCATCTAGTACAGTGCCTACCATTTAGTAGATGCTCGGTAAATCTTGTATTGAATGATCTTTGGTATCACATTATAAAGCTAGACTATAAAAACAAGATTTTAGTTAGAAAAAAGAAAGTGTCCAGCAATCCCACTGTTGAGTATCTACCCGAAGGAAAAGAAGTCTTGTAATCAAGAAGACATCTGCAGCCAAAGGTTCATGGCAGCACAATTCACAGTTGCAAAGATATAGAACCAATTAAGTGTCCATGAGTTCATGAGTGGGCAAAGAAAATGTGAGACAAACACACACACACACACACACACACACCCATGGAGTACTACTCAGCCATAAAAAGGAATGAAATAATGTCTTTCACAGCAACTTGGATGGAACTGGAGACCACTGTCCTAAGTGAAGTTTCTCAGGAATGGAAAACCAAACACAACATGTTTCACTAATAAGTAGGAGCTAAACAATGGGTACACACGGGCACAAAGAGATACAAAGGATGCTGGAAACCATTTGGAGGGTGGGAGGTCAGGAGAGGGATAAAACTTACTGTTGGGCATAGTGAACACTAGTCAGTGAGGGGCACACCAAAAGCCCTGATTTAAGCATCATACAAGGTATCCATATGACAGAAACATTTGTATCTCCTTAATAATTTGAAATTTTTAAAAGTGACAATTCAAGAGAAAATAACAAATTGTATAAGAAAGGAAAGTAATCATAGTACATTACTTGGAACAGCTGTGAACATTTCTAGATGCATAATAATGTAGATGCCAAATACCAACCAAATTATAATTATTATGAGGAGAAAAGGACAAGCTGTGTGCCTGTGTTTTTTGGGAAGGGGGTAGGCAGTGAACCAGATACTCGGTGTCTTGGGCAGTCAGTTTATAAGGCCTCATCAATCTCAATTCCAACCTTCCTCTTCTGTGTGCATGTCTGGTTCTGCTTTGTGATTTTATTGTTTGATGATGAGCAGTTTTTATATAATGTGGCCCAAAAAAGTTAGGCCAGGATTTCATCTGTTACTCTGTCAAAAATATGGTGATAAAGAGAAATTCTTTCTATACTCTTAATTTTGTATTATGTACTGGCTTTGGATCTTAAACCCTCAGTCAATTGCAACTCCAGTAGACACCATCCCACACTGAAGGAACTTGTATTCTAGTGAGGGGGTGGAGATAAGTATATGAATAACTATTAAATAGCCCAAAGGTTGTTTTTGTTTTTGTTGTTGTTGTTGTTGTTGTTTTGTTTTAAGTAGTATAATAAGGATCTTATGTATTCAGAAGGGAGAAAAGATCTTGTATCAATAGAGAGAATGGAAAAAGAGATCAGGAAGCCAGACCAAAAGATGGGTGGATTTTGGAATAGGCTGGCATCCCTGGCTGATGAGGTGTGTTTCAGGAATGGACATTTGCAGTTTAACTGCAAAATAGGGTATAAGAAGATTGATTATGGTTGGAAAAGAACATCAGTGCTGTAATGTGGGGAATGTTGATAACCAGGCAGAAGAATTGCTGGTGTAGCATGGCCTAAGAAGGCACCATTGTAAAGTGGAAAGAGATGACTTTAGTTCTGGCTCTGCTTTAGCTGGGTGGCCTTGGTTATGAAGTTCTGTGGCTCTCTGCTTTATATATCCATACAGTAGAGGTAGGATGCTTTGTGTAATAGTTTAAAAGAAAAAAGCCCAGGTGATGTAGGCACACAGTATGTGTTTCACTCCCAATGCAAAAAGAACAACAAAAATTTTGCTTTGCAGAGCAAAGCTTTTGAGCAAAAGAATGACATTGTATTGCTTTAAAGCAATGATTTCTGGTAGATTGAAAGGTGGTGGAGTCTCTAGGGTGATTGGCTTGTATGTAGCAAGAGTGTATTTGCTTAAATATCACCTTAATAAGGCCTTCTTGACCCACTCCATTTAAAATTGCAACCTTCATTCCTGCTTTGCCTCCATAGCACTTGCTTCTTCTGAGTGTTTTACTTATTTACTTATTTACCTTGATTGTGATTGCTGTTGTCTCCCTTGTTCAACAGGACAGGGATTTTGGCATCACCAACACATTGAATAGTGCCTGGAACATAAACACTTGGTGAATGCATGGATGGACGATGGGTTTATCCAGACCTATAGGTTGAAATGGGTTTGAAAGAGTGTTAATAGCAACAGATATTCATGGAAGCCAGTGGAAATATAATTGCAATGACTGGTCTTTAGTATCTTAGTATCAAGGGACTAGGAAGCAGCAAAATCTACAGGGGCAGTGAATCGGGAGATTGAAGAGCTAGCACCTGGAGGTAATTGTGACGACAAACGCACATTCCTCTGGAAGGAGAGCGTGGGAGAGGTAGAAGGTAAATAGATTGTGGTTAGAGAAGGGAATTTCCCAAGGTTCAGACATTAGAAACGGAACAGTCTGAGAATTAATAGTGGCAAGGTTGGTGGAACACTCCATTTTGCTGGGAATGGACTGTATCACTTTTTAATTGCCGCTGCCTTGGCTTACAGCCCCCTCTCAAGCTTGTTATATTTAGGTCACACTGAATGGTGGTATATAAATCAGGTTTTGTTTTCAGAGGTCTTTTTTGTTGTTGTTGTCATTGGAATATGACTGTAATGTAGTAACCTGAGTAAGCAGGTAAGCCAGTAATGTCCGCCAGATAGATAGTTAAGCATGTTAGTGAAGATGTCAACCCAAGCTTGAAAGCTGAATTTACAGAGAAGTTGTCTGCCTCGTGTGGTACAGCTGACCTCTTTAGTCATTCCATTGAACTTTTAAGTGACCATCTTACAGGTGCTTTTCTATTTGAGATCATTTTACTTAGAGTAGAGCAGCTTGGTAAATACATCTAGTATAGCATTTGCTAATCTTATTTTAAGCAGTTTTGGGGGAACCACTCTTGAGTGTGGAAATTGCAGTAGGACTGTTTGGAGCAGCCTTAATTGTTATCATCAGCCAGTGCATGATTCTCCATTATCTTATAGGTTTTCCATTATAATATATTTTTATCTTTAAAATTCCAATTATTCTCAGATGTATTGTTAATGACAGGCAGGTATGAGTTAGTAGAAAATCTCTGGAGAGACAGTTGATGTAATCTTTCTCATATTTTTTAGTGAATAGATAATATGCCTGTTATTTCTTAATTCTTTAAAAAATTCTTCTTAATTTCAAAACATAATGATCTCAAATATAAACTTCCTCCCTCCTTCTAGAATCTCAGAGATACTTTACCAAGCAACTGTTTGCTTAAGTGGGATTATAATAAATATGATATAGGGGTTTCAAAGATGTTAATGTTGTAGGAAGGGAAAAATAAAGAACATCCCAAATAAGGAGGGAAAGAGTTGATGGAAAGCACAATCTATCGTGCCTGATCTTTGAGCTTCTAGACATCTAATCAGAATGGCGTTTGAGGGTTGTTTTCACTGTGTTTAAAGCTTTCAGAGGAAACAGGTTTTTCTGATAAAAATAGAAAATGAAAGATGAGTGATTAATGAAGGCTTATTAAGAATTATTTTTAAATAATAAAAGAATAGAAGGAGGAAAATACCAGTGTGTGACTTATCCATGCCAAATACTATAGACATAGTTCTTCATGTGCCCTTTTCTCTAATTTTCCAAAACAGTACTTGGATTGTAATATCCCTATTTGCAGGTTATGAAATTAAGGCCCAGTAAAGTTAAGAGATGTGTCTAACATCACATAGCTAGGAAATAAAGTTCTGAGATTTGCACCCAGAAATTTTCAGCTCTGTGCCTATATATACCATATGTCAAACTAATGAGAAAGGACAGCCACACCAAAGATGAGGGCTTCAGCAATTTTTATTTGTGTTGAATGCAGAAGAAGCTGCTTAACATTTTAAATGTGTGCCCATTAAAGTAATTAAGGAATGTGAAACTGTGAGGTGTACCATTGTGTGCGAGAAGAAGTCCACTCGCCTTGTTCACAGCAATTGGCTTATGATAGTGGAAAGTTCATTAGAGAACCATATGAAGAGAGATTTCACATTTTGAGGACTGTCCCAGACATGCTTTGTTATATACTTGTACCCTTGTTGGCTTTATTTGTATTATATATGATATATGTTTATAATAATCTGAGTTGAGCAAAATTGTTCATTTTTTAATTTAAAAAAATTAACTTGAGGTTCTTAGAGCCAAGTGCTTTGTTCAAAATAGGATTTGAAAATTATATTGACAAGTGTTATATGACATTGTAGTAGCTTTTCTCTGTAAAGTTGACTTCAAGAATTTTGAGGGTTGGAGTGACTGGTTCTTCTGCAGTTAACATGGGGTTTAACTTATTTTAAGAGCAATTCTTAATAAGCCTTGCTTCTGTTGAAAACCAGGCTAAAACCATCTTCCTTACACTTCCTCATTATTTGGTTGTTAGCATAATATTAGCTACTTTAAGATTGTTCCCAGACTTTCTTTATCTTGATCGAAAGGACATCCTTAAGGAGGACCCCTGCAGTTTACATTCAACCCATTTGTGATCGTTTGTCAGGAGCATGGAGCAATTATTTATATGCCTGGATCATTGGGGAGGTATATATACCAAATGTTTGTTGCAGAGCCTCAAAGAGCAATCAAATTAGAAATATTACATAACACTTGGTAGGTTAAGCCTATACCTGGAAGGCAATATATATGTATTAACCAGAGATTGCTTGCTTGCAGAGAGAATGCTGGAGAACCAGACTCCTGGAGTAGTTTATCCTATGAGATACCTTGTGGAGACTGTTCTGTGAGGCATCATCGAGAGTTGGACATCTACACATTAACCTCTGAGTCTGAATCACATCATGAACCCCCATTTCCTGGAGACAGTTGCACTGGACATATTTTTAAACTTATGAACATCCAACAGCAACTAATGGTAAGAAAGGAAATCTCCATTTTTAAGTGGGTGTGCTTATGTGGGTGTCCCCACCCTCCTGCAACAAACCTTGATATAATTAGAACATAACAATGTTCTCCCCAAAGATTGTGAAACTGTTCAGGCAGTGTTAGCGGTACTGGGTGTTACCACTCACAGATACAGAACTAGCATTCGGGTTGTAGCAATAGGGAAATTGAGAGACTTTTTCCTTGTTTTTTGTCAGGTTTTAGAAATAACGAAAGATCCTCATACACACATTACAGATACAGAAATATGTAGCAACTAGAACTAAATATTCCTGGCATAAAAAGAAATCTGTGTTTAGTTTAACTTTATAAAATGAAATGAGCAAAACAGTTTATGAGATTGTTGCAAAAGAACAAGAACCAAATTTACCCAGAAATAAAGCCTTTTTACAACTATTTTAGTGAGTGATGATAGTGTTACTATATTTAAATTTATAGTTCTGTGGTAAAAAGATCACTAAAAAAATAAAGATTTTATAATCTACTCAAGTCTTCAAGATAAAGTTGTTGCCAGACGTAAAAACATTACAGACTCCCTGGTAGCATTTATTATGGATAATATAAACGTCATATGGGCACATGTCTCTTGGCTGTAACATGTGAAAGGCTAAGTTTAGATAATTTTTCCACCCAGTTTATTTCAGAGCTGATTTAATTTGGAAACAGCTCAACAATAATTTCATTTAAGGTCATCTAGAGTCAGCTCAGTGCTGGAGGCTTCTTTGGAAGCAGGCATTATTTTCGAGGCCAGCAGGCCGAGAGACTCCATAGTAAGGTTGTATGATGCTCCCACCTCTGCCTTTTGAAATCATGTTTGTTCCATAGCAAGTGACTTTTGTTTTCCACTGAATGGACTGCCAGGAAACCAGATTTTCCCTTAGAGCTCATTTTAGTAGGTAAAGGATAGTCCACTTGAAAATACCAGTTTGGGCCAGACACAGTGGCTCACGCCTGTAATCCTAGCACTTTAGGAGGCCGGGAAGGGTGGATTGCTCAAGATCAGAAGTTCAAAACCAGCCTTAGCAAGAGTGAGACCCCGTCTCTACTATAAATAGAAAGAAATTAATTGGCCAACTAAACATACATATATATAAAATTAGCCGGGCATGGTGGCGCATGCCTGTAGTCCCAGCTACTTGGGAGGCTGAGGCAGGAGGATGGCTTGGGCCCAGGAGTTTGAGGTTGCTGTGAGCTAAGCTGACACCATGGCACTCTAGCCCAGGCAGCAAAAGTGAGACTCTGTCTCAAAAAAAAAAAAAAAAAAAAAAAAAAAACCAGTTTGCAGGTGCCAAAGCTACCTGCAAGAATGTGGGAATTGTTGGCAGGAAAACATTAGAAATTAAAACGTGCGAGAGCACATATGTGTTATGAGCTTCTCAATTCTTCAAGCAATATCTTTTTCTCCAGATCTCTGTTCTATAACATTCACCTTTCATTAAATTTAATGACCTACTCGCATATTAGGAGATTGTCACACTTTCAGCAGGAATGGTAATAAGCTAATTTCGAATACTTTAGAATACTCATTTAGTGAAAGTTCATTTTGCTTATACTCGTTAATAGAAAGGCTTTAGGAAAGAACACATTTTACATTTACATGTGCAGACTTTTATAATAGACGTGGTCAGTAGGTAGGAGCAGTCCTTGAAGTGCTCAGTACATTCACTGAGTGACTTAAGTGAACCAGAGGATAGAGGGCAGCAGATATGCATGAGGTCATTGCGGTAGATTAGACAATGAGTGGAGAGCAAACTAGATGTTTTAAAAATAGTTTTATAATAAGTGTTGAGAAAATAGTATTATTATAAGAATTCCTGAAATTTTGACATAAAGATAAATTCACTAAAGATCACCTATGTTTGTTTTTCTCCATTTTTCCTAAGCCTTGTCTGCACGTGGGATTTTTGCATAACTATAGGTTTCATTTATTTTTTTCAGCATTGTATTATAAATATTTTCTCTGAATGCAGTATGGTCTTCATAGTTAATATTTATGTAACAGCATATTATTTCTTCCATTAGTTTGATGAACCATAATTACCTTAACCATTCCCTTGTTGGTTGTGTGTTTACATTTTTTAAAGTACTTTAAAGTTGCAAAAACTATTTTTGAGATGAACTCTAACAGTAATCAAAAGTTATGTATTATTAGTGTTATGTGTTCTCATTTATTTCATATTTAGTATTGGACAACAGAGGAACTCCTTTATCAAGAAGTGAAAGAATATCTATTAATATCATGCCACTGTTCCTGAAATTATGAACCCGTAACTAAAATGATTACGTTAAATGGGGTGGAGCATATTTTGGGGATTAAAAAATACTGTGTAACCCCTCAGTAAGTATTTAGGGCATAGGAGTATCTGCCTGCACCTTGTGATTGAAAAGAGTTTTCCAAACTGGTTAGAATTTGTTTTTACTTGTAAATATGAGGCAGGATACAAGTAGGCTCTTCCTCTCTAAAGACCCTATAAAAATATCTTTCTCGGCTGCTCATTTGAAGATATTCACTGGGCTTTTTAAAATTAAGGTTTTTGAGGCTCAATTTTAATCTACTTTCTAAAATAATTTCAAAATATAGAATATAGTCATTTTGTATATTCCAAGCATTTTTAACATTCCAGTGGATATGCAGATATGAGAAAGGAAAGTAATATCAGGAATAAGAGAAAATTTGTTTGTATTTATTTTAGATCAGCTTATCATGTAACCTTAGAAGGGCTGCAATGGCACTGAGTTCTGTCCAGCAGGATTTTTGCTTATTTTTGCTTATAGATGTCAGTGACATCTTTTTCCATGAGCAGTTTTTTAAAAATATCTTTCATTTCTTCCTAGAAAACAAACCTCAAGCAGATGGATAATCTTACGCCCTTAATGATGACAGCACAGGACCCTTCCAGTCCACCCAGTGCCCCAGAGACAGATGGCCAGTTCCTCCCCTGTGCACCTGAGCCCACGGGCGGCCAGCAGCTGTCTTCTCCTGCAGAGACCAAGAGCACCCCGTGCTGCCACGGGAGCCCTGTTGGGCAGATCGACAGTTCCTGTGATTTGTCAGGCATGCTTGAGGAAGAGAATACAGACTGTTCCTGTAGGAAGAAAAATAAAGCTGTGGACAGAAAAGGGGATGGAGTGGAGCAAGCACCTATTGTGGACTCTGGAACTGTGTCTGGTGGAGACAGCCACCTTCAGAGCATGCCTGACTGTGGAGTAAAGGGCACAGAAGGCCTTTCATCCTGTGGAAACAGAAATGAAGAAACTGGAACAAAATCTTCTAGAATGTCCACAGACCAGAAGTGTTTGAGCAGTGGAGACAGTGTACTACAAGGAGACATGGTCATGGAGCCAGGTGCAGCCCAGCATTCCCCTGGAGGAGAACTGGCAGGCAGTTCAGCAACAGAGGCCAGTACCCCAGAGACTGCAGGGGAAATGGAACATGGTCTCATGAACCCAGATGCCACTGTCCAGAAGAATGTGCTTCAAGTAGGGGAAAGTACAATGGTAAGATCTGAGAACTCTAGTATCAGCACAGCTGGAGCCTCTGATGCACAAGTCACAAGCAAGCCTGTGGATAAAGCCATTGTTTCCAACTGTGTCTCTGTCACTGGTTCCCTGGGTGGTAACAAACCTACTGAGTCTCTGCTTGTAGTTAGTAGTAGAGAAACCTCCGTTGAAAAAACACCAGAGACTGAAACTTTAAGAAGTTGTGAAGAGAGTGCCAATGCTCCAGTAGATCAGAACTCTCTGGTCATTCCAGCCGCTGCAAAAGACAAGATTTTAGGTGGATTAGAACCCAGTACTCCCTTAGCAGGCACATGTGAGACAATATCACCCTCAGGTTTAACCTTTCCTGGGCCAGAAAAAGATGTAATGCCAAACCAAAAACCAGAAACGAATTCATCTCATGCTCAAAACCAAAAGAGCAAATCACCCATTTGTTCTGTAGCTGGAGAGGGTGAACCTTGCACGGACTCTGCATGTCAGCAGAACACAGTGACGTCTAGTGGTGAGGTGGGTGCAAGGCAGCGCGATGGCGCAGTTAGGCAGCCTGAAGGCACCACAGCAGGGCGGGCGGGCACACAAGATCCGCCCACTGCCGCCTGCTGTGCAGACCCACAGGCTCACACAGTCACCTCTGTCCCTGTGAGAGACACCCAGGAATGTGGAGATTTTTGTCCTCTCGAAGTTTTGGATAAAGGGGGCCAAGGAAAAGATCTGAAACAAGATAAGCCTTTAACAAACACACTTGAGATAGTTTCACATCCACAGCCAGTTGTCCCTAAAACTGAGAAAGAACTAGTGCCAGACCAGGCACTGATATCAGACAGCACTTTCTCTCTGGCAAACACTCCAGGCAGTGAATCAGTAACCAAAGATGACGAAATTTCTTTTGTCCCCTCCCAGAAAGAAAAGGGAACAGCAACTCCTGAACTACATACGGCTACAGATTGTAGAGATGGCCTGGACGGAGATTCAAATGATCCCCGTAAACAGCCACTAGAAGGCAAGGCAGCCGGCCAGTCTGTGTCCCCCACTGCTGTAGAGCTTCACTCCAGCATGGGGAACGCCAGTCCCACAGGACATGGTGGAGAACATGAGAGCCCCAGCCCCTCAGCAACCGCTGAAGGTCTCAGTATCAAGGAGGATACTGACTCTTCCCCACCAAGTGTGGGCAAGGCCACTTTGGCCTCCAATTCGGTTTTGACTGAAGAAGGAAAAAATCTGGTGGCTTCAGAAAGCTTGGCAGCTCAGGGACAACAGAACAAAGATAAAGCAGTGACTTGTTCCTCCATTAAGGAAGATACTGTTTCTTCAGGAACACTGCAAGAAGAGCAAAGAACACCACCTCCTGGACAAGAGACACCAGGATTCCGTGGAAAACCTATGTCAGCTGCCTGTGCCAAGGACAACGCACTTCAGCACAGCAATTCACTGGATACACCCTCTGGCTGTCTTGAGGCAGAAACTAAACATAACAAGGAAGTGGCCCCGCAAGTCTCACTGCTGACTGAAGGTGGGGCTGCTCAGAGCCCGGTGCCACCAGGAGAAAGTCTGGCTGCAGACTTGAGGCAGGAAACTTTGGGTGCAGAGCAGAACGGCTCACCTCTGTTGCCAGATGGGTCTGAGACTCTTAATCACAATCGACCTTTTGCTCAGGATGTTGGAGTGAAGAACTCTCAATCCCAGGGAAAAACCAGTGCCTGTGAAGCGAGTGGAAATGTGATGGTGGGTGTTGTAGCAGCTAATGCTCTGCAAGGTACTGCTGGACCCAGAAGAAAGGATGTATCACACAACAACCAAGATACTCTGATTCCGAACGTCTCATTGAGCCAAGAGAAGAATGTGGTCCTGGGTTTGCCAGGATCTTTACCAGACAAAGGTGTGACTGACCCACAGGGAGCTGCAGCCCCAGAGATGGTACCTCTTGACGGGGAGAAAGGGAAGTTTCTGGGAACAGACCACAGCTGTACCATGGGCGACTCTAAGGAAGCACAAATGGACAACGAAGCACATTGTGTCCTGCAGCCTGTTGCCAAGGAGCCCCCGACAGACACAGGGCTCTCAACCCATGATGACAAGGCTCCGGCTGGAGTGAGTGAAGCAGTGCGAGCTGTGGCCCCAGGCAGGGAAAGGAGTGCTCCTTCTCGACCTTGCACGGTCTCTGCCCAAGCTGCACATCTGCCTGAGGGAGAAGACTTGATAGAGGAGGCTGCCAGCCGCTTAGTGGATGCTGTCATCGAACGAGTCAAGGCCTCAGGAGCACTGCTTACTGAGGGGGAAGTCAGTCACACATCACCGTCCAGTCCTGAGTCTGGCCCTCTGGCTGAACAGCCAGGGGTTGCTGCTACAGAGAAAGCGAATGCCTTTCCGCCTGGGGAGGGCTTGCCAGTGGGCAGTGTTTGTGAGGAATCTGCGGGGAACCTTGTAGGACGTTTTGCTGGAAGGGAGGAGCCAGAGAAGAATATTCTGTCTGTTCAAGGGCCTGAGCCAGCGACAGGTAAGTAAGGTAGAATACAAAATTAATAGTTTGAGAAGCAGATTCCCTTAAGAGTATCTGTAATGTGCTGGTAAAAACATAGGCATCTTTCTTGTTTTGAGGTCCTGTGCTTGTTGGGTAGGTTGCCAAGTTAATAGTCACCACCATCAGGAGAGGCATGTCATCTCAGGGTTGGACAGATTTTGCTTCCTGTATTGGAAGCTCATGGCCCGATTGCTTAAGCCTGTAAATGCTCTCTGTCACTCTGGAGCAGTTGCAACATTCCAAACCTGGAAGACAATGCCTAGATCATAGGTGCTCTAAAATGATGAAGGTATTTAGCAGATGTTTTTATTCACATGGTTTAGTCCTTTTCTCTAGTATCATAGTAAACAGTGTTAAAAAAGTGTGTTTTATTTACAGTCCTGAAACTCCCTTCCTCCCCTATCATCCTAGTCTGTATCCCAAGCAAATTTAGAATCAGAGTGGTTTCATGAACAGCTATGAGTATCATTCTAAGCTGATGGCCCGAAATCCAAAATGGTTGTATTAGGTCATTGGTGGTTTTTTGTTTTTTTTTTGTTTTTTTGTTTTTTTTTTTGGGTGGGGGATGCGGGGGCTCCCTTCTTTTCCTGCCTGAGGAGCAGACTTTCAGTTGCGTTGCCTGTTGCTTTTGGGCAGCAGTCTGGGAATTCAGGACCCTGCACAGCACAGGGGATCGGATGCAGGATTTCCGCCCAAGCCCAGTCTGCTGAGCTGCTGTCACAGGGCAGACCTTGTGTCTGCTTATCTTGGTGAAGCAGCTGCACCGAGCAGATTGCTCACACAGCAGCCCGTTCCATCTGTGGGTAACCATGTCCAGAGACAGCAAATAGAAACCTCCATTGCTCAGTGGAAATAAACTATCTGAATAAAACTTCTTATTGGGGGTTGAGCCTGAAGCTGAAGCTAGAGTTGGACACAGTCTTGACTCTTGAAGTCTTTAAAGGTCAGTTTGATGTATACTTTCATACTACCACCTGTTACCAGCTGTAGCCAGAGGACCTCTCTCCATGCTTACACCTAGATCTTTATAGGTAAGAAGTAGCCTCTTTTTTGTCTTTTTTGTTTAATTGATTATTTTTGCTATTCTTGCTAATTTCTGAAAATCCCTTTATGTGTAGTACATGTTAAGAGTGTGGGGGTGGGGGTATGGAGAGAAATGAACAAATAGAACAAAAGAAGTTGCTTAGGAAGAAAAGCAATTTAAACACAGTGGTGGTTTTCCCCGGTAAAGGGGTAAAAGGCTTTTAGCCATCTCTAATCTTCTTTCTTTTTCCCAGTTGAGGGATTTAAGGAACCTGAGGTAGAATTTTTAGCAACTTCAAATTTTTAGTTTTATTAAGATTTTTGATTGTTATTCATAGATACTTGTTGGCTGCCATCTCAGAATTTAAATGAGAAGGTCTCTAATTTTTAAAATAAAGCACATCAACAAGTCTATTTTGGGGGCCCTGGCAGGTTGGCATTTCGGAAGAATGGGAGTGGCAGTAAGCTGATACCTGGTTATGTTCTTTTCATTTGGGTGCTGCGTCCTTGGACACATGGGCTGGAATTATTTCTCCTCCTGGCTAAGTGGTCAGAATTTAACCCAAGCAAGTGTGAACTATAGTACTCTATAGTACTGTATGAGAAAAGGTAAAACACAGGGAGAATTTTAGACTTTGATTTTTATTAGTACATAAATATAGTAAATATGCTAAAAATGATGTTTAATATGTTAACATTTTAAGAAAGAAGAAAGATGTATGAAGTTTCAACAGTGTATATAAGTTTGGGGGCTGGTTAATTTTGTGTAGGCGAGTTACTTGTTCCTGCTACCAAAAGCACTAAGAATAGGCTCAGGGTTCATGATCTCACACTACAGAGAAAAGTAGCCACTGACGAAGAAATTGGGGCTTTCTTCAGAAAATAGCTCGGGCTAGGGAAAGTCCCCTGGTCACATTGTCCTAGGAAAAAAGCACCTGAATGTGATCTCAGAGCCAAAGGGTATTTTTGTTAGCAACTGTATATTCCACTCATGGATTTAACCATACTGTTGTATGAGTGAGGAGATACAGGTTTAACTGCTGGTTTGGAAGGAGCCAGTTAAAAAGAAAGGGTTGACCCCTCACCCATCAAAAGCATTGATCACAGCGTATAGGAAATTGGTGGTGTGTGACTGGGCCACACCAGTCCCCAGAGGTTGCCTGCACACCACAAGTCTCACTAATCACTGTTCACCGGTGTGACTGGTTGCTATGCCAAGATACATATTTTCAGTTGATAGTTATAGGAAAGTTAATAAGGTTGTGCCAAAAATCACATCCCCAAATGAATAGAATAAAAACCATCAGCAGCCCCCGTTACCCCCAGAAATTATTATGACTTGCTTAGAAATGTTTTGGTCAAGGAATAGTTCTAAGGGGGTTGCTTGATTAGATTTTTTTAACTTTAATTACGTTTTATGAAATTTAACACAAATTTTGGTTCTCTGGGCAAGGAAGCTTGTTTACCCATTTTTAAATTACTGGTAAGATCATACAAGGACAAAGAAGAAGGGAGATTTATAAACATTCATTTATACAAATGTAACCTTCCTAAACCTAAAGTAGACTTTTTGTACATGTCACATGTGCTGCTAGAATAAAATCTTACTATTTATTCCTTGGTGAAAGAGGCTTCTCTGCTCTTTGGTGTGGGGAGCATTTTTCTCTGCCAGGGTAGTGACATCACTAGTAACCACAGAAAATTTTCCACGTGAAATTGAGATGACAGTTTCATTTGTATTTGGATTATTAAGGTGAATTTTGACTGTTCAATCATCGGTCCTCTTTAAAGAAGTGTCAGAAGCCTAAATTTGTCTCAGACATCATTTTTATCACTTCCTTCCTGTATTTGCTTGACCATATGGTGGTCAAGTAACAAAAAACACCACTGTTTTGTCTGTGGAGCATGGCTAGCATGAGGACAACTATGTAATTCCAGAGAAGACAGGTATAAAGACTTTTTCTGAAGAAAAGGAATTGCTAGTGTGTTATTATGTTTTGGTTTTGGAAGAAATAAGATTTAAAAACAAAAAGTAATAACTTGCTGGAACAGTTTGATCTTATTAATTGCAGTGATGGGTGGAGCCGGGTGTGTAGTATGTTTTTACAGAAAGTCAGACTTGTCCCAGAGGCTTTGTCTCATTCTCAGTGGCTTTTCCCTTTTTATCTTGTACAAATCTCTCTTGCCTTTTTGGTGGTGACCAAGACTGACAACCTAGCTCCAGCCGGTCTGTTCCCTTAAAGCTCATGAGTTGACTTTTCCACGTGCAAGTCAGCATCACGCCCATAGATTTGTCATGAAAAGTCAGTTGTGAAAATGGACACTCAGTAGACACTGATTGGATCTTCCCTGAGCTTCAAACTCATGCAGAGAGGCTAGGGAAAACCCCCCACCATGTGATAGAGGACTAGCTCAGCACAGGGTCAGAAATGACACCAGCTCCTAACAGCGAAAGAATACTTTTCCACTTAACACAAAAGCAAAAACAAATAAGACACGTGAAACCTGGGGCATGTTGTGTACATAGTCACAGGAATCAGTTTTTTCAAATGCACTCTGTAACCCCCTTGTTCACTTCAGAAATGCCAGACACGAAAGCTGAAGATGAAGTGGATTTTCTGAGTAATACCAGAGCGAGTTCAGTTTCTGAAGAGGGGGCTGTAGGGAGTGTAGCTGCTACGCCCACGATGAAGCAAGGCCTGAAGACCCAGGCGGTAAGTGGCATTGTAAGTCGGTGTGAGTTCAGTATGTGTTTAGCCTCGTCTGCTGTGTCTGGTTTATGGCCTCGTTTTTGATTTTGGGAACACAATAGTGTTTTTTACCCTTCTGTCTTGTTCTGTTGATACTACATTAATGTGCATCTGTTGTTGCAATTAAACTTTTCGTAAATGGTGTCCACCACAAACAGAGTTTTGGAATAAGCTCTCCTACGTAAATCCCTTGGTCATTATGATGAAAAACATTTTCCCCATGAGCACAAGACTTTGAAATTTGTCATCAAGCTTGAAGTGTCACAAAATGAGAGGGGATCTATAAACCGTTATTAAACCTAACTCTTCTTTCTTTATGTAGAAACTGATAGCAGCAAAAATGAGATGTTTTACTTTATAGCTCAGTAGTAACTATATAAAATATGAAGTATGTCATTTTTAGCAGTAAAAAAGAGATTTAGTGGTAAGCTTTTTTCCATAACAGGTTTACTGGGATATAATTCACATACCATAAAATCCACCCATTGAAATAAAGCACATAGTTCAGTGGTTTTTAACATATATATAGAATTGTGCAACTGTCACAACTGTTCTAATTTTAGAGCATTATCATCACCCCAGAAAGAAACCCCATATCCATTAGCATCCCCCATTCCCCACCCTCCCCTCCCCCTACCTCTTAGCAGTTACTAATCTGCCTTCTGTTTTGTGGATTTGCCTGGTCTAGAACCTCATATAAATGGAATCATACAATATAAGGTCTTTTGTGGCTAAGTTCTTTCACTGAGCATAAATAATGTTTTCAAGGTTCATCCATGTTGTAGCATTGATCAATATTTCATTTCTTTTTATTTCCAAACATTTCGTATGGATATACCACATTTTGTTGTACATTTGGATTGTTTCCACTTTTTGGCTATTGTTAATACAGCTGTAAACATTTGTGTATAAGTTTATGTGCACATATGTTTTTATATACCTAGTGGAATTGCTGGGTCATATAGTAATTTTATTTTTTCCAGGGTCTTGAGATTACTTTCCTTCTTGTTTAAAGCTATTAACTTTTTTTTTTGAGACAGAGTCTCACTGTGCTGCCTAGGCTAGAGTGAGTGCCGTGGCGTCAGCCTCACTCACAGCAACCTCAAAGTCCAGGGCTCAAGTAATCCTTCTGCCCCAGCCTCCTGAGTAGCTTGGACTACAGACATGTGCCACTGTGCCTGGCTAATTTTCTTCTATATATTTTCAGTTGTACAGCTAATTTCTTTCTATTTTTTTTTTAGTAGAGATGGGGTCTTGCTCTTGCTCAGGCTGGTCTCAAACTCCTGAGCTCAAACGATCCACCCACCTTGGCTTCCCAGAGTGCTAGGATTACAGGCGTGAGCCACCGTGCCAAGCTATTAACTTTTAAAACAAGGGAACTTGTTGAGAGAAACAGTGCTCTACACTTTAGATTCCATGATGGTCAAAGAAAAATCTTTAGAAAGCTGACAATCAAATTACTGGAATAACTCATACTGTTCCTCTGAAAGTTGGTGTCTCTTGGCTAGACTAGACTGTGCTGTTTTTGCTCTTCAGAAAGCTAAGTGGTACTTTTTCTTGAAATTACCCCAGTAGGTAAACAGAACTGTTACTAACCCAAACTGTTTCAAGTGTATGAACAGTGATAAACAAGCCTCGTTTTATTGGAGTACAGTGGTAAGAAGGTGCTGACCTAACCCACCCCTTAGTACAGATAATATTCATGACTAATGCCTGGGTGGCTACTTGTATAGCAGGCGTTATTCAGACAAATGTTGCTTTTGCCCTGGGGAAAGAAAAGAGAACACACCCTGCATGGGTACATGTGTCTTTGTTTCCAGAAGCCCTTAAGAAAGAGAAGGAAAAAACTCACATCCTTGTATTGAAATGCCTCTGTTTCTTAGCCTTCCATTTTAATATTGTAGTGTGATTAATGTCATTGATTCTAGCATGGTGCTTGGCTGCAGCCCCTTTCCTTTCTGATGAGGGATATCTCTATCCTGATTGTATCTTGTCTACTATGAAGAAAGAAAAAATTTACCATTTTTTAAAAAAGTCCCTCCTCTCCCAAGTCCCTTTCCTCTTCTTGTTCTTCCACTGGTTTCAAGAGTTGAGAGAGAGAATATTCCTCTGGATGGTCAGCATGCCTCGTTTTATAGATAAAAGAATAAACCCGTGGAGAGTCAGATGACTAGCTCAAGGTCAAACCCAGCTGGAAGGAAGAGTTTGGAGTTTGATTTTCTAACCTAGGACTTACACAACAGGGAAATTCCCCCTTGACTCTTAACCCGGGTTCTATGATTGGTGGAGATATTTTAAGGAGCCTCAGAACCAAGTAATCTGTCTCTTGCTGGAAGATACCTGTGCCTTATGCTTTGTGTCTGCTTCCTCCTTGCATAGTTGGAGAAAGCATGTCAATGGGAATGTCACTTCTTGAAGATTTTCAGGTCTAAATAGTGGAAGGTTTTGTGTTCACAGCATTGTTATTATATTGATGTGAAATCTGACCGCTTATCTCTCCTCCCTGTTTTGCTGCCAAACTTGCCTTATTTGCTGTGAATTGAAAAGATAAAGCATGAGCACACACTTAATTTTTCCCCATGTTTCATTCTCTCTTTTCCCATTTAACTCTTCTTTATGCTATATTCATGTGTAGGCTTTCACTGGGTCAGGAAAGAGCAAAGGTCTGCAAACTTTTTTTGTAAGGGACAGACAATAAATATCTTAGGCTTTGTGGAACAGTCTGTCACAGCCATTCAACTTTGCTTTTACAGTGTGAAAGCAGCCATAGACAGTGTGTAAATGAATGAGTGTGACTGTGCTTCAGCAAAACTTTGTTTATAGACATTGAAATGCGAATTTCATGTATTGTTCATATATGTCAGGAAATATTCTTGTTTGCAATAATTTTTTCTAATCATTTATAAATGTAAAATCTAAGTTTTTTCTTGGCCTATGCAAAAACAGGTGGTGGGCCACTGGCCTGAAAAATACTTGTGTACCACCAATGGATGAAAAGAAAAAGGAAAGAAGTTGCTTTCTTCTTTTCTTTCGTCTTCTCTCAAAAACTGTTTTGTGTTGAAACCTCTAATTATTAAACTGCAGGTTAGGGGCAGAGCGTTCGAATTCTGTCTCTCCTCAATTAGCTTTTTGACTGAGCCTCTGTAGAGCTCAGTTTTCGTATCTCTATTTGTCTTTTAGCCTCAACTTTCTAGAGTCTGTGTTTTCATTCTCAAAAGGATTAATTGAGTTTGTGATTATAGTTGAAGGAGGAGTGGCATTTGTTTAATATAATTTTAATCCGATCTTTCTGACACATGCCCAGTCCATGTGTTAGCCTTGGGAGTAGGCCAGTCCATGCTTCATTGTATCATCATTTCATTGAATCATCCTCGGCAAATGGAAAACAGAACAAATTCCTGTATCTTATGCTTTGGTATTGGGTTGAAAACCTAGACTGATAATAAATTTATGGCAGTTTTCTAGTAAATACGAAGAATCTATTTAAATTATAAGGGAGATCTTACTGTTTTGTAACCTTTTAACATGTAATTTTCAGAGCATAGGAATATCTGTCAATAGTGGCTCTACCAAGCATTTAAAGGAAAAACCTCCAATTGAGTTCCTGTTTTCTTCTGTCCTCTGGGTCTGATATTTGTTATAGAGACTGAGGAATAATTTTTCATTCTATATCCTACTTGACATGTTTTGTAAGTAAGCCCTTACTTTAGGGGTGAACTCCTGAAAATCATGGTTCATGAAGGAAGTAGGCAATATGAACATTCATGTTAGCTTATATTCTTGGAAAAAACACATGTATATGTTAAATGCTGCAGAATTCTCAGTAGTCTTTAACTGATTTTCTTCACTGGATTGAAAATGTTTGCAATTTTCAGGCAAAGTCATTAACATATATTATGGTTCATTCCCATTGATGATTTTATTTTATGGTTGTGGTTTGTTACGTATTGCCAGGGTTTTAATACTAGTTACAATGTAATATTCAATATTGTCTTCTCTTACATAATTTACTGGTTTCAGGGTTCTCAGATTACCTTTTATTGTCTTCTTTGTTTCGTCAGTGAGTTAATATATATCAAGTGCTTAGAGCCTGGCACACAGTAAGTACAGTTTAGCATTATTATTACTGACTAGTTTTATAACTTCAGATTCCAATATCCTATTCACTCATCTAAGTAAACCAGTGCAATATGGTGATTCAGATTCAGTTACTGCTTCTTGAAAGCAGTAAAAGCATCAGGAATGCTGTCAGACATTAATGCTGGGAGACATGGAGCTTGGCTCACTTCTGAGACCTTTAGAATTTGAAGGAACCTTAAAGATTATCTGAAGTCCAACACCTTTGCTTTATAGGAGAAGAAATAGATTCAGGATGGTTAAATGACTTGTCTTGCTTCACAACTAATTAATTGTCAGCTGGACTAGAACCCAATTTCTGTGCAAGTAATGTTTCCAGGATACTGTTTCTTGAAGAATCATCCTGAGCAAGGACCCTCAGGAAGTCCAATTCACTTGATTTAGGATGTGTTTTTATTTTTAAACAAGTATTCCTGAATGATGCTTATGCACACTAAAATTCTAAAACCATTGCATTATACTCTCATGCTTTTGGTAATTGTTAGAGAAATTCCTTTGGCCATTTTAGGATCCAAGCTGAATCACTTTGAAATAAGTCTCATGTACTTATTATTATCTGTTTAGGTACAGCTAAATACCATCAAGATGGTGCTTGTCCAGAGAGCTTACTTTTGGGGCAGAAATCACTAAGGTTATCCAGACCTGCCTTTTATTTCTTAAAGAATGATACAAAGAGCTATAGAGCCAAGTGTTAAATAGGAAGCAAGAGGTGATGTTGAATTCTTAAATTCAGAAAAGAAAGCCTTCTGGGACCATTCACCTGGAGAGTATATTCCATGGAGTGGCTAGGGAAAAATTTAGATTCCTACCCCAGTGCTAAAGACGAG